GGGCAGACCCTGCATACCCAGTGGTTTCCAGTCCTCTGGAGCTGGAGATGGTTTCTCTACAAGGATCGCGTTTGCAGACACTGGACTGGGGTCCCTGAGAATCACTAGGACAGGGTGGTCTCAGAATTTCTGAGACCAGGGCCCGGAAGTGGGGGCCCTGGGGTGACGGGGGGCAGGTCTGCTGGAACCTGCTCCCCCAGCACAGAGCAGGGGACCCTTCTCCTAGGGTAAGACAGCCTGCTCTCTACCTGGGTTGCCCGCTTTGTCCAGAGGGACTACAACTTGACCTTTTGGCCACTTGCCTCCAGGAATCCAGGGGTGGCTGCTGTCAGAGCCCAGAAATCAAAACCAGAGGAGCGGGTTTGGTGAATTTCCTCCCACAAACCGCTCTTGAGAAGTGTCGACATCCTCTGACGTTGGTCACAGCTGAGATAGTCTGGGTGTGTCTGGGAATCCTGAGGAGGCTTCTTTTTGCCAGTTCCCTTAGTGTGCGATTACGTGTGCTGTGTGTTTGGGCTGGGCATGGCTGGGCCTCTCTGCCCAGACAAGCTGTGTGCAAGGCCTGTCCTTTTTGTTGTTGTTGTTGTCATTTTTCTGGTTTCTGCAGTCCCAGGACATCCTGAGGAGAGCCACCTGATGTAATCACACCAGGGGTCACAGTTCAGAGATGGAGGCAAGAGGTTTAGCCTCCCCGCAGCGCGGAGGAGCAGGTGTTGGCTGAGACAGGGCACACACTGGGGTCCCTCTCTCTTTTCTATCCTGGGAATTCTCCCGACTTGGGACCCCCCTGCTCAGGATCCTGCTCCGCTCGCACTACCAGGGTGTGTTCCAGGCCCCTCCTCTGTGACTCTGCCACCCACCAGCCCGTGACCCTCAGCACAGTGTAAACACTGGACAGTTGGCTCATATTATTGCTATTATTCACTTCACCAGGGTTCACCTGCTCGAGAGAGACACAGATGGTCAGGGAGAGAAAAGCCAGCACACCTGGCTTCCTTTGCTTCTGGGACAAGTCTGACCACCACCCCGGCCCAGGCCCTCTCACCCCCACTTGAGTCCTCTGAGGAAAGTGTCCAGAGGCTGTTTCTTTTACTCAGGCTCTGACAACCTGATGTTGTTCCAGACAGTGGTGGCTGTCACCTCACTGAGTTCTGGGCCAATGAGGGTGTGGCTCTGTTCTGGGAGGGTGGTCTTGCTGGTGGTCTTCTGGATCGATTTCTGGGTCCATCTCAGCTTCCTCTGCTGTGCATACAGTAGGTGCTCAGTGTGTGTGCAAATTTAACAACTTGCAAAGACTCTGGGGGTGAGGTCTCAGTTGGGGTTGGAAAGCAGGATCCGACTTCCGTCCCAGGCTCTCAGAAGGAGAGGGATGTCAGCTGATGGTAATAGCGCGAGTGTCCTGGGTGCCCGCTCTGCGCCGCCTGACTGTTCTCTCGCGGGCCCTTTTCTTATGGTGTCTTCTTCGACACAGAAATGTTCATTCTATAAAGTGAGCAATGCTGTCAGGATCCGGGCCCCCTCCTCTGCTCCCCCAGCTCAGATCTCCACACTTGTCTCCTCCTGCTGGTCTCCTTGGGCTCCCGGATGGCTGCCCACCTCCAGACATCAGTCTCATCCCAGGGCAAACCCCGGACCTTAGCGTCTGCCAGAGGGGAGAGGCTGGCAGCCCCGGAGCGAGAGGCTCTGGGAGCAGAGACCACAGTGCCAGAGCCACAGAGAGGTCAGGGCCTGGCTCAGCTGTGTCTGTCCCAGGGGCTTCTGCACTTCTTCCTGCCTGTGACATGTGGCTGTTTGCTTGATTACAGATGATGGTCCCATCTCCAGCTGTTCTGTGGGACCTCAGGTACCACATATGTGACAAAGATTAGGCCTGGCACACAGCTGTGCCTGAGCAAATAGACCCAACCACAGCCCTGACCCACAAGGAACACACACACAGAGTGACTGGACAGAAACATTTTCGGGTTCCCCAAACATACCCAGACTACCTCAGCTCTGATTAAAATCAGAGGATGTAACACCTCCCAAGGGCAGTTTGCGGGAAGAAATTTATCATCAAATAAGCTCCTTCGGTTTTGATTTCTGGGCTCTGACATCAGCCGCTCTCAATTCCTGGAAACAAGTGACCAAAAAAATCCACAAAGTGGCCCCTCTGGGCAAAGAGGGCAGGTAGAGAATAGGTGGTCTTACACTGGGAGTAGGGTCCCCTACTCTGTGCTGGGGGAGGGCAAGTTCCATGCAGACCTGCCCCCACCTCCCTGGGGCCCCCACTCCCAGGGCTCCATCTCCCCAGGTCCCACATCTCACCAGGGCTCTAGCCCCCTAGGGGTCCATCTCCTCAGGCCCTGGTTTCAGAGCTTCACCCATGACACAGGGGCCCTGAGGTGCAGGAGAGGGGATGTGACACAGCCTGGGGACACTGCTGGGACCTGGGCTAGGCACAGGCAGCCTGTCCTACATCCTCCTCTAGGGAGGGAGGGGCACCCACAGGAGGGCAGAGCTGGGACCATGCATGGAGCAGCCTGGCCCGAACTCCAGAAACTGACAAGACCATTTATTCCAGTCCCGAGGCACTTGGGCTGAGTGGCCCTGTCCCCTCCCTTTGGCCCATTGTCTCTCTGACCCCAGTCTGGGCTCCCCCCTGGGGCACCCTACCTGTTCCCAGTTTTCCTGACAAGGGAAAGGGACAAATCCTGGCACAGCGTGCACCTGCTCAGGGGACCACTCCCCTCTCACACAACTTTCTCTCTCCTTGGGGGACCAGGTCCTTCCTTCTTTTCTGGGACCTTCCCAGACTTCGGTGGAAAATTCCAGCAGGACGTAGGAATTTTTTCACATTTTCACTCCACGTGACAGAGGTGGACATGGGGGAGGGGCTGTCATTCCCCAGAAAGGATGTGATTTCTTTTCTTCTTTCTTCTTACCTCATGGACTGAGCGGCACATTTTCATCTCATCATCACGTGAGTGGTGTCGAGTGCTGCTTTTGGACTGAGTTCATCACTACGCTCTGTTGATGCCTTTACAAAACCACATCCCCCCTGGCGTCAGGAAGACCGTGATGGGGTGTGTGGGTGTCTGGGAGCATGTGGGAAGATGCTGGGAAGAATGAGAAGGGTAAGGGGAGGAGAAGAGAGGGGTGAAGATCACCCAAGCCTGAGTTGGTGGCTTTTCAACCTCCTGCCCCTTCTCCCTATGACTCAGGTGACTCATAACATAAAACATTTGGGAGAAAGTCAAACACTGTTACATGTGACATCCCTCTAATATTTACAGAAGGTGGATTCTCTTAGCTGCTTGTGTGCTGGCTAGTCACAGCAACACAGCCTCCCTAGATGTGGAGATATGCTTGGTCAGCTCATCTGCATTGGAGAGGAGCAAGTGGCCCTCAGCTGGACCAGAATGTCCAGGGGTGACTGGCCAGACTGGGGTATGAGGAGCAGGGAAGGAGGGGATGTTGGAGAACATTCCAGGAGAGGAGACCTCAGAGCTATTGGCTGAGGTGGTAGACTGGTGGGGAGACCTCCCCTGGGGATGCGGGAGCCAAGTGCTCTCCCTACAATGGAGCCCCTTCCTTGGTCTCCCCACAAGATGCTCCACACATCCTGGAGGGGCAGGTGATGGGGAGCTGAGCCCGGTGAGATGCTGGTGTGCTGGCTGCTGGAGCCACCTAGGAAGGGCCGGGGCAGGCCTGAAGGCTCAGCCCTCGGAGGGGAGGGTCCCTCAGGGCACCAGGGCTTAGGAGGAGCCCTGGACTCAGGGTCACCCTCTGCCCCCAGCACCAGGCTTCATGCACCAGAGACCCTCCCTCAGAAACCTTTGGGGCACCAGGGAGCCAGAAGCACTTAGTGGGTTGAGCGACTGGAGGAGACTTTAGGGGTGCCAGAGGAGAGCTTGGTCTGGGTCAGGACCTCATTCTCCCTCCCTGGAATGCAACAGCTGGGGGATGGTGTTGGGGAAATACTCAGGGACCCCAGCCTGGTCTCTGCAACCCTGATCCTTGTAGAGAAATCATCTCCAGCTCCAGAGGACTGGAAACCACTGGGTGTGCAGGGTCTGCCCTGTGTGCAGACTGTGACCCAGGAAGTGTTGGCACCGGTCAGGACACACCACACTCCAGGTCCATTCTCACTCAGAAGCCACCTGTGACAAAAATGGGTGCTGAGTCACCACTTGGGGGACAATGCCTGCTCTCAAGGGACCAGGTCTAGAGGA